TTGCTATCTTAGAATATGAAGTTTAAATTTATTCTTTTCTTTGTATAAGAGTTATACTCCTGTATGATCTTTGCTTTATAAAAGAGTTAAATTAAATTTTAATAAAGACAGAGACATGGTCTCACCATTAATATTCAAAAAAAAAAAAAAAATACAGCTCATGGGCACTGACATTATTGCAGCGTTTAAGCTTCATTATTGTTATATACAACTTCAATATGCAATTGATCATGATGAAGCTGGAAAAAGTGATATATATTAAATTAACTAATTGCAAGCTATGAAAAAGATAAAGTTGCTTAAAGTAAAATATTTATTAGAATTGCTAGTTATATATGAAAATTATATCTTTTTATAATAAAAATAAAATGTCTGTTGCATCACTACCTTTTGATGAAGATGAAATGTCTGTTGTTTCATCTCTTTTTGTTAAAGATATTGAAAACTTACTTGTTGAAGATGTGAAAAAAATCTATTTGTTGATTCAGATAATGAATTAGCTACCAAAAAGCTTTAGCAAATACTCGATACATTGCATCTTTAGAATCAAATATCAATTAAAGATTTGTTACATCTTGAGGAAGAAAAAATAGAGACATATCAGCAATTTAGTGATAAAGATTTTATTCAAACTGCTATAGAAGTAGAATTAGTAAAAAATGAAATAATTACACAACCTTTAACCAGAAAAGAACAGTTAGATATTCTGCACAATGCTCTGAGAATTGTTAATGAAAAAATTGATAATAGTAAGTAACAATAAAATTTTTACACAAGCTTTGATTACATTTTTATGAAAAGGTTCAAAAGGAAAAAGCTAAAAAACAGGTTTAAACTATACTTAATCAATTTTTTCTGGCCTAAATAATAATTAATATCATGTAAAAATTCTAATTACAAAAACTTAAAAGTAGGTATTATTATTAGAGATTATTATTATTATTATTATTATTATAATTTTTTTTACAACTATAGAATAAAAAGAGGCTGATTTTTCTGTCTTTAAATTGCAACTTTGTATATTCTATAAAAACTTATTTGATTATTTCTGTATTTTCTGTAAAAATTCTATAAAACTTGAAATAGAAACACTAATTAATTTTTTTATAGAATGACTTCACAGTAATATAAAAAATATAAATATTATTAATAGATATAAAAGATATATTGTTTCTATTGGCACCTTTGTGATTATAACTATATATACTACCGAAATAGGTTTTAAAAAAACTTATTTCATCTCCATTAGAGTAATTTAAAATTTTTTATATGCAAAAGCAAATCTAATTTAGGTAGTTATGTTCTTTATAATTTCATCTCTTCAAAAAAAGTGTTAAAAAAATTTTTTTTTATTTTGAATTTGCTGTATATATGATAAGATTAGTTACAGATTTATATCAAGATGATATTAATTTAAACTATCTATTGTATCTTGTATAACCACCTAAGTGTAACAAATCACCTCTTAATTTTCTATTTGCAAACTAATTTAAGACTAGCTACTATTAGTTATAGAGCGAGAAAAAGGAAGCCCAAGTGTCAAAAAAATTTATCTTTTAAGTAAAATAGATCAAAAACAATTTCATCTTCAAATTTTAATTTCATATCCTGAAATCTAAAATAATTTTATCAACATGTATAATTATAACTTGCTTTATATTTAGCTAGTAGAGTATTAAACAATTAGTTTCTTGTTTTACAATAAAAATTATTAGCTTAATATTATTGAATCGATTAATAAAAAATTTTATTCAACAATGAAGTATGGTATTAAATCACATAAAAATCAGATAATTTTTATGTAATTTGATTGAATATGTTTCTTTTGACACTATCTGAAAAATCAGAAACTTAGATGTAAAGATGATCAGATATCAAAAATAGCAGATTATCAGATATTAATTATGAAATAGACCTGGTGGATTGATTTTTGATCGATTATGACAGGTTATTGGTTTTGGCAAGATCGGTTTTGAGAGAGTTAACTGTAATTTTATTTTGATCTGGATTTCATTATGATTTATTACAATGATTAAGTAGAATAAAATTATTATTTAAAATATTTAATAAAAAGTGAAGCTTTGCTCATATGTAGCTTTGTTAATAATAAGTTATTTGTTTATATATAAAGTTTTTGATTAATTTGATTAGTTAATGCTCATATATCATAAAATTTAGAATTTTTCTGATTGACATTCTTATACTATAAAAGGGGGTCTGCTAAAGCCTTGTACCTACGTGACATTTTCTATATAGATCACCAATCAAAATATATTTATATTGATTAGCCCGAAAAATCAAAAAATCAAAAAATGAAAAATCTGAAAAATGGTAGTCTAAATCTGTCTTGGTCCATTAATAAAAAATGTCTGGAAGGGAATTTCACCTATATACCTGCCCTCACCCTAACCCTAATCTAACCCTAACCCTAATTACAATTAAAACTTCGAAAGTCACGTGGGCACAAGACTTTAGCGATCCCCCATAAAAGGTGCGATCTCAATATCCATTTTTGGAAGATTCCCTAACTGTAATGTAGATTGTCGATTGTTTGAGTTATACATGATCATCTCATCTAATTGGAAGTTTCAGGTTAGCATTAGACCTAAAGGTTTGCAAATTAGCGTGGACACTATGTACAAATAATTTTTTTGAAGTTATATACAATTAGGTCTACAACTAGTAACATAAATATGCATGTTTTGTTACACTAAAATATAAATATAGTTACGCATCGGGACAGGCAACTATTTCGATCGACATGCAATTTTGTATCACTTATTGCATAAAAATTGAGTGTCCAGAGCGTAGCGACAGATAACAAAAATGTAAATTTAGGATCCATTCAAGGAATGTCTTTGTAGTTTCATATTGATAGTTATCTTGACATAAAGATAAATCATTCTATAGGTATTTCCACTTTATGCCAATTTTATCAATTGAAATTTGTATTATTTCGGAAACTGATTTTCAAATTTAAAATGATAACGACTTAGTACATAACTATTACAACTAGGAATCGGGAACCGATATAAGTCTGGAGCATTACCGTATTTGGGGGTCGTCTAAAGCCGTGTCCAGTCACGTGTTTTTTGTTTTTAATTAAATTTAGGGTAAGGGTTAGTTTGGAGTT